CCACTCACGAGGCGCCTGGCGGAGACCGTAGACTAGCCGCCGGAGGCTCCACTGGGTACCAGGAGGAAACGACCCAGTGAAGCCAGGTGGGCGGCGCAGCCAGATCTCCTCGTGCAGGCTGCCCTGTAGGAAAGCAGTGCTGAAGTCAAGAGAGTGGAGCTCGTAGTCACGCTGAGCGGCGACGTGCAGCAGAACCCGAAGAGTGGTCATCTTCGGGGTAGGGGAGAAGGTCTGGAAGAAGTCGACTCCCTCTCGCTGACTGAAGCCTCGTGCAACGTAACGCGCCTTGAAGACAGGCGGAGAACCCGGCGGCCGCTTCACCCTGAAAATCCACATGCCACTGACGATGTTCGCCCAAGGCGGGGGAACCTCGTCGACGTAGGTGCCTGTGGACTTCCAGGAAGCCATCTCTGCGTCCATGGCTGTCTGCCACTGAGAGGAGTAGGAACCCTCTATCGCCTCTGCGTAAGAGCGCGGGGTCGGGATGTCTGGTGCATCCGGGTCTCCCTCAGGGGCAAGCAGCATGGACACGAGATGAGGTAAAGCAGCGGCAAAGCACTCAAACTCCTCCTGTCTGTCCTCAAGAACGTCCGTGCTAAGAGCACACTCACCCCCGACGGACGGAGGACAGACGGACTCAGACTCAGCTACAAGGCTAGCGGCGTAGTCTAGACGACAGGCGGCAGCAAAGTCAACAAGCTCAGCGACTAGAGCAGACGCAGCAGAGGACTCAAAGGTAGGGTCAGTGACAACAGTGGCGAGGAAACGCGTGACAGTAGGACTGGCAGCACGAAGGGAGTCAGACTCCGGGTCCGGACCGTCAGGAAGAGAGGACGCAGGAGGAGACGGCAGAGGGACACCCTGTGGAGCAGTGGAAGGACGCAGAGTCATATAGTGAGTGCCAAGGACAGGAGGAGGACGCTGACGCGGAACACGACGACCAGTGCGGACAGCGCGGACAGACGACTCTGGACGAGACTCAGGCGACGCAGGACGAGACTCAGGCAACGCAGGACGAGACAGGCTCACGACGCTCCGTAAGACCTCTAGTCGGCCCAGCGTAAGGAGAAGGACCAGGCAGCGGAGAGGCAAGCTGTAACTGTGACTGCGACTGTACAGGTGGTGGACTCAGTGGGGGAGGAGTAGGACCAGTAGAGGGCGGGAGGCCAAGAACCTGCTGAAGGAGCGGAACGTAGTACGGCCGCGGCCGCGCAGCACCTCCTGAACCAGCAGAGACAGCACAAGCACCCTCAGCCCCAGGGTCTCCAGCAACAACTCCCGCAGCACCACCAGCAGCTCCAGCAGCTCCAGTAACTCCAGCTCCAACCCCCGCAGCGGCTCCAGTCCCCGCAGCTCCAGTACCTCCAGTACGAGCACCTCCAGTAGCTCCAGCACCAGCAGCACCTCCAGTAGCACCAGCAGCACCTCTAGCAGCTCCAGCACCAGCAGGACCTCCAGCTGCACCACCAGCAGCTCCTGCACCAGCAGCACCAGCTCCAGGGTCCGCAGCACCAGCAGCAGCTCCAGCTCCAGGGTCCTCAGCACCAGCAGCAGCTCCAGCTCCAGGGTCCTCAGCACCAGCAGCAGCTCCAACTCCAGGGTCCTCAGCACCAGCAGCAGCTCCAACTCCAGGGTCCAAAGCACCAGCAGCGCCACTCCGGAGACTGCAGCGCCGAGCGTACCACTCTCGGAGCCGCTGGGGAGAGGGCGGCTCCCGCCTAGGCGGGGAACCACGAGCACCAGCTCCAGCAGCACCCCTAGCCCCAGAAGCGCCCCTCCTGAGGCTGCAGTACCGCGAGTACCACTCACGCAGCTGCTGGGAAGAGGGAGCGCCTCCAGGCGCAGCACGGTCAGTCGCAGCACCCCCAGGCTCAGTACCCTCAGACGTAGCACTCTCAGGCTCAGCACCCCCAGACTCAGCACTCTCAGGCTCAGCACCCCCAGACTCAGCACCCTCAGGCTCAGCCCCCCCAGGCTCCGCACGCTCAGTCTCAGCACCCCCAGGCTCCGCACCCCCAGGCTCCGCACCCCCAGGCTCCGCACGCTCAGGCTCAGAACCCCTAGCAGGACGAGAGTCGACAGCTACCTCGACAGGCTCAACCGGGTCTACCTGGGACACACCTGAGGGAGCGGCACCCTGAGGGGGGAGGGGGTCTACCAAAGCAGCACCTGGTGCGAGGAAGAGAGGCGGGGGGGGGGGAGCGGGGCAGTGCGGTAGGGGAAGAGGCGGTAGTAGGGGACCGACTCGTCAAAAGTGACGTCCTGAGAAGGCAGGACACGGCGCGAGGTGGCGTGGTAAAACTGCCAACCAGACGCGTCCGGGACAAAGCCAAGGAAGACACAAGGAACAGCGCGGGAGGAGAGCTTGTCCGCGGACGTATCGCGGACAAAAGCACGAGATCCCCAGACCCGGAACACCGACGCATCGCCAACCTCTCCCGTCCAACGCAGTGTCGGCGAAGTCTCCGGAACGGAGACACGGGGCCAGAGGTTGAGCTGATGCGCAGCGTATCGGACCGCAAACGGCCACAGAAAGTGGGGGGCAGCCGCATGGATCAAGGAGGTACGAGCGACCTCCATGACCAAGCCAATGCGGCGCTCAGCAACCCCATTCTGCTGTGGAGAGGCCGGAAGCGTGAACGACTGCTCAATGCCCTCCCCACGACAAAAGTCCCTCAAGAGGTCGGAGGAAAACTCCCCACCTCTGTCAGAGTGCAGACGCAGAACAGGAAAGTCCGAGTGGAACCTCTCGCTGAGCTGGAGACGGGCAGCGCGGATCCAAGGGATCAAAACATCAGGGACTTCACCCTTGGTGCGCAAGGGGAAGACCGTGGTGTAGCGCGAGTAGTCGTCAACAACTATCAAGAAGTACCTCTCGTGGCCCTGTCCACGGACGCGGGCTGGGCCCCACACGTCCATGTGAAGGGTCTGCAGGGGAGCAGTCGTCGGGGGAAACGAGGAGGAGTGAGGAGCGGCGCGCTGCCGCCCCTCGACACAGGGAAGACAGGGAGGAGCAGGCGAGGGTGGGAGAGGAGGGAGAACCCTGGGAAGACCAGAGACAAGGTACCGGGAGTGCATGCCATGAAGGCGCTGCACTGACGGGTGACCAAGGCGGTGGTGCCAGAGGACGGTCTCGTGCGACAGGGAGCGACACGAGCAGGGGGGCGATAGCTGACCTGACGCAGACGCAGACGCAGCTACCTGAGGGGACTCAGTGGTCAGTGTGTACAGGTCCGACCCCGGCTGCCAGGTGGCGACCCGTCCGAGCACACGTGCAGTGGGTCACACGCTCATGGGCAGGGGTGAACTGGTGAACACCCCCGTCCTGGAGAGCAGAGCCCGCCACCAAGTTCGTAGAGAACGAGGGGAGGTAGAGACCTGACAGGGTGCCGGACGGGACCGCAGGACAAGGGAGGACAGTGGAGGAGGTCGCAAGGACAGGGCCCCCGGAGGGGTCAGCCAGGGAGACAGCAACAGGCCGAGCTAGCTGCTCAAGGACAGTGCGGTCACGAAAGAAGCAGCGGGAAGCACCCGAGTCCAGTGTGAAGGTGTGCAGTGCCTCAGTAGACGCAGTACCAGCAGGCGCAGACGCACGAGCACCTGGAGCAGTAGACTCACTAGCACCTAGAGCAGCAGCCTGACCAGGACCTAGCGCAGTAGACGCACTAGCACCTAGAGCGGCAGCCTCACCAGTACCTGGAGCAGCAGACTGGACCTGGCCACTACCAGAAGCTCCCGAACTACCCACTCCAGAGCGACTCCCACTACGGCCACCCCGACAACCCCAACCAGCATACCACGCACGAAGCTGCTGGGGCGAAAGAGCCTCGCGGGGACAACGTTGCAGCTGCACCTGGCCACTACCAGAAGCTCCCGAACTACCCACTCCAGAGCGACTCCCACTACGGCCACCCCGACAACCCCAACGAGCGTACCACTCACGAAGCTGCTGGGGCGTGAGGGACTCACGCGGACGGCCCTGGAGCTGCATCTGGCCACGCCAGGAGCAGCAGTAGCAGCAGTAGCGGCAGTAACAACAGTAGCAGCAGGAGTAGTAGCAGTAGGAGCAGTAAAAACAGTAGCAGCAGTAGCAGCGGTAGCACCGCGGGCAGGGCAGTGCTCACCAGTGGTGGGAAGAGCAGGCGCAAGACGGCGGCGACAGCGGGGCCGCTACAGCTGCAGGGCGGGGCCGGGCCGCGGCAGGGAGCTCCGCGGCAGGTGCTGCAGGGCGGGGCCACGACTGCGGCTAAAGGCTCCGCGGCAGTTGCTGCAGGGCGGGGCCGGGCCGCGACGGCAGCTGCTGCAAGTGCGGCTGCTCCAGGGGCCAGGGGCGGCTCCTGTAGTGGCGGCTGCTCCAGGTGGCCAGGGGCGTGTCGCGATATATATTTTATATATATTTCTAACTGCCTGTAGCTTTAGCTTTAGTGTAGTTATGCTTTCGTACTATTGGTGGTGCACCTTCTCATGTTTGCTATATGTATCCCAATGCTATTGTGAAACCACAATCATTCTCGACATACCTCCTTGCACAAACTCCTCGACACCCGCTTGGCCTAGGCTACTAAGCCTAGGCCCTTAAACCCGCCTGCTAAGCTCAGTTAGTTAGTTGACATGGTATCGAGCTAGGCTTTCCCAGCCTGCCCGTTTGTTTTTTATCGCGCCCGTCACGCTTCTCACGGGCGTTCCCCGCAGTAGCCCGTTAGCCGCTGGATCTGACGCGACGGTCGTGGCGAGCTGCGCGATGGCGTTCGTCGCGGACGAAATGTCGCGCTACTGCCCGTCGAGCAGCTGCCGCCCGTTGTTCTTCCGCCCGTCGATGTGTCGCCCCATTCGTCACCTCCCCGTCGCCCGTCGTCAGCTCCTCGCCGATCGTCGCCACGTCCCCACTGCTCGTCGAGACATCCCCGCCGCCCGTCGTCACCTCCCAGTCGCTAGTCGTCAGCTCCACGCCGCCCGTTGCGCACCAACAGCTTTCCCCGCCCGCCCTCCCGTCGACCCCTATGCTGCTGCATCGGCTGCACATTCCGCGACTGCAGTTGCTGTGCCGCCCCGTGCGGCCTCCCTGCGCTTCCCCATCACCTCGAAGGGAGTGGCGGCGGAATGCCAGCTACAACGCCAGCTACAACGCCAGCGACACCGCCAGCAGAGACCCTGCCAGCAGCTACACCGCCAGCAGAGACCCCGCCAGCAGAGACCCTGCCAGCAGCTACACCGCCAGCAGAGACCCCGCCAGCAGAGACCCCGCCAGCAGAGACCCCGCCAGCGCCAGCCGCCCGTCCCTCTATCCTCCCCCCCTCCCTAGTCGCCTTCCCTTCCGCGACTACGACTGTGGGGGGGGAGGTGGTGTGGAAGGGGTGGCCGCCGTGAGCCACTGCAGCACCACCCTCTTCCCTGCCTCTCCCCTCCCGCGGCTGCTGCTGTGGGGGGGAGGTGGCGGGGACGGGGGGGTGGGGGGGCTGGCGTTTGAAGGACAATGCAGCGACTACTGTGGGTGGGGCAAGGGTGTGGAGGAAGGAAGGGGGGAGGGAGTGCGGTTCCAGGGGGCGGCTGAACTGGGGGGTGCGGCTAAAGGAGGGGTGGTTGAGTGGGTGTGGGGATTTTGGGGTTCGTAAGAGGGGTTTCGTCGCACTTGGCTCCCCCCCACCTCCTCCCCTCACCACTCTCTCACCTCCCCCTTTGTAAAAGGGGAAGAGGGTTTCGCCACGGGTGGCTCCCCCTCAACTCCTCTCCTCATCCCTCTCTCACCTCCTCCTTCATTCTTATCTCCTCTCCTCCTCTCTCTCTCTCGCCTCCTCCTCCTCACTTACCTCTCTGCCATCGTCCACTGCGCTAGCTATACCCCTTCAGGGGGTGTGACTTCCTCTAGCTATGTGCAGCAGGCAGTTACGGGGGTGTGTCGCGATATATATTTTATATATATTTCTAACTGCCTGTAGCTTTAGCTTTAGTGTAGTTATGCTTTCGTACTATTGGTGGTGCACCTTCTCATGTTTGCTATATGTATCCCAATGCTATAGTGAAACCACAATCATTCTCGACATACCTCCTTGCACAAACTCCTCGACACCCGCTTGGCCTAGGCTACTAAGCCTAGGCCCTTAAACCCGCCTGCTAAGCTCAGTTAGTTAGTTGACAGGGCGGCTGTTGCAGGGGCGGCTGCTCCAGGGGCCAGGGGCGGCTGCAGGTGCGGCTGCTCCAGAGGCCAGGGGCAGCTGCTGCAGTGGCGGCTGCTCCAGAGGCCAGGGGCGGCTGCAGTAGTAGTAGCAGCAGTAGCAGCAGTAGTAGTAGTTTTTTTTTTTTTTTTTTTTTTTTTTTTTTTTTTTTTTTTTTTGAATTAGGGTTGTGCGCGGCCCACGGGCTGCAGGGGCGACTCGCGGCTCGGCAGGGCGGCGCGCAGGCTGCAGGGGCAGCACCCACGGGCTGCAGGGGCGACGCGCAGCTCGACAGGGCGGCGCGCGGGCTGTAGGGGCGGCGCGCGGCTCGGCAGGGCGGCGCCCAGGCTGCAGGGGCGACGCTCGGCTCGGCAGGGCGGCGCGCGGGCTGCGGGGGCAGCGCCCACGGGCTGCAGGGGCGACGTGCGGCTCCGCAGGGCGGCGTACGGGCTGCAGGGGCGACGCGCGGCTCTGCAGGGCGGCGTACGGGCTGCAGGGGCAGCGCCCACGGGCTGCAGGGGCAACGCGCGGCTCGGCAGGGCGGCGCGCGGGCTGCAGGGGCAGCTCCCACGGGCTGCAGGGGCGACGCGCGGCTCTGCAGGGCGGCGTACGGGCTGCCGGGGCAGCGCCCACGGGCTGCAGGGGCAACGCGCGGCTCGGCAGGGCGGCGCGCGGGCTGCAGGGGCAGCTCCCACGGGCTGCAGGGGCGACGCGCGGCTCGGCAGGGCGGCGCGCGGGCTGCAGAGGCAGCGCCCACGGGCTGCAGGGGCGAACGCGCGGGCTGCAGGGGCAGCACGCGGGCCACAGGAGCAGGCACGGCTGCAGGGGCAGCACGGTCGCAGGGGCAGGCACGGCTGCAGGGGCAGCACGGTCGCAGGGGCGAGTACGGCTGCAGGGGCAGCGCGGTCGCAGGGGCAGCTCGCGGGCTGCAAGGGCAGCGCGGCTGCAGGGGCAGCGTAGAAGAAAAAATTTACGGTTAGGGCAGGGCGGAACGTTCGGTGGGCCCTAGGAATGATTCTGCTCTAATACCGTATCACCCCGGATATAAGCACATATGCGCTTATAATAAATTCGTTTTTTTAGGGGGGGCGCTTGTAATTGAGTAACGGCCATAAGCGCCGGCGCTTATATAATGACAAATACAAAAATATATATTTAGAGCACTAAATTGTTCATTTTCTTCTTGCCATTTCAACTGAGTCGAAACGTTTTAGCGTCACAATGCAGAATCTCGCGCAAGCGATATTCTGGGTTCACACACAGGCAAAGCCACGTCATGCCAGCACATCCTGACTGGACGCGCAGCCAGTCAGGTCTTCGCGAGTCAAACGAAGCGAAATTGAAATCTGACTCGCTGCAAAAATGGATTTCGTTACTGTTTTAAGCAAGAATTTAAATTCAAATCGCATATGCGCTTATAATAAGTAAAGGTTTTCTACGGGGGGCGCTTATAATCGAATTCCGGCCATAAGCGTCATGCTCCAGATAGATGTCAGAATGTGATGTTTGTGTTGCCTGCAGTGGGGTACTCTATAGCGAGTACAGCCCGAATTAGGGTTTGCTATATGTACTCAACTGCATGCTAGTGAAAACCCCTTCTTTCCTGTTTCTAGCTTGTGCCTGCTATTTCGACATGCTATCAGAGCAGGTCGACCCTCCTGGGTCGATCCTGTGGATGGGCCCGCCACCTAATGCTTCCGCTGCTGTCCTGCCTATCGCGCGCCCTGGGCGCGCGACGTGTTCTGCGTGCCGTGCGCTCGGGTGCACGGCGTATTTTTCATCCCGCCGCACGCTCGGGGCGCGCGGAGGTTTTCTGCCCGTCGTGCGCCCCGAGGCGCGCGGCGGTTTTATGCCCCGTCGATCCGCGCGTCGCCCCCCGTCGCCCGTCGCAGCGCCCCCGGGGACCCGCGCGTCGCCCCCCGTCGCCCGTAGCGGCCCGCGCGACCTGCGCCAGGCCCGCGCGCGGCCCGTACAGCCCGCGCGCGGCCCGTACGGCCTGCGCCAGGCCCGCGCGCGGCCCGTACGGCCTGCGACAGGCCCGCGCGCGGCTCGTACGGGCTGCGCCAGGCCCGCGCGCTATATGTACTCAACTGCATGCTAGTGAAAACCCCTTCTTTCCTGTTTCTAGCTTGTGCCTGGTATTCCGACAATACGGTAGAAGCGCCGGCGCCTTTAATCGGACGGCGCCTATATCCGGGGCCATACGGTACCATGTTAGAATAAGCAGGAATGGATGAGTGAACTAGGCAAGAGGTGAGTACAAGTAGGGGAAACCTAACCCTAAAGTGTTGTACTCACTAAGGAGTGACCCTACTGTAGCCTAGAGATACAATTGTAATTTGACATGCGCTTATATCCGGGGGGAGAGGAGATGGTAGCCCTTCGAATGCAGGTTGAACGTATGCTGGCAGCCTGAACAAGTACCGTAGAAGCGCGTGTTAGGAAGGATTCTACTGGGACACCACGAATAAACTGACAAGGCGAAGAGCAAAAACTCCGGTTGTGGAGTCTGCGGCGCACCAACCATCCCTTGGCAGCATCTCTTCTGATAGCACGGAGAATAAAGTTCTGCTTTCTGCAATGAACACATGAAGCAAATGGGATCTATACACTAAATGCGCTGAATGTACAGATAAAGCTCTTCATGAGTACCTTAAGTAGCCCTTGCTTCCACCTCTAACCCGCGTCCTGCAGCTGCCATCGAATGTGGTCACACCAGGGCCCAGGGCCGTATGCCAGGCACGTAGAGGTACAGCTCCTCCATCACGCCCTTGGCCCGCGCCTTCACCTCCTCGTGTGCCTCCTCGTCCCCCCACCCCATCTCCCTCTCATGCGCCTGCACCACCGCACTCAGCGCCTCCACATAGTCTGTCAGAGCGTTGCCCACTCGCACCGCCTCCTCCCCTCCTGCTGCTGCCGCCGCTGCCAGCGCTGCCACTGCTGCTATCTCCCGCTCTGCCTCGCGCTGCTCCCTCGCTCGGGCCAGCTCTCTGGGCGTGGGATGAGCGGCGCAGGGAGTGGCATCGCCATCTGCACCAGCAGCAGCAGCAGCAGCAGAAGATCCTTCATCCCCGCCCTTCTCTCCCACACCCCTCGCATCCCACTCTCCCTCGCCTCCCCGCATCCCCCCCCCCTCCCGTCCCCCCATCCAGCAGCCCGTACCTAGCAAGGGCAGCAAGGGTCTCAGGAGGGGTGGCGTCAGCAGCGTCTTCCAGCCACGCCAGCAGCGGCGCCATCGGCTTCCCCACGCCCTCCACGCCCTCCCTTGCCGCCTCTGCCGCTGCCACCACGCCCCCCATGGCTCGCGCCACATGCCGGCTCGCCAGACCCTCCGCCCACCGCGACCCACTTCTCCTCCCCTCCCCTGCACCTCCCGCCTTTCCGCTTCCCTCTGCTCCTGTGCCTTCCCCTGTACCTGTGCCTGTCCTTGTCTCTCCTCCCTCGTCTGTCCCCGCAATCTCTCCTGCACCATCTCCTGTTCCTCCCCCCTGAGCAGGGCGCTCCTTGAGGGAGCGCAGCAGCTGCAGCGCCCGCACCTCCTCCATGGCATCCAGGCTCGCCGCTGCCACCTGCACCAGCACACGCCACGCTCCCCCCCCTTCTCCCTTCCCCCCGCCACTGCCACTCCGCCTCCCCCGCCGCCCCCTCCCGCCCATCCCCCACAGCACATCATCCTCATCCACATCATACCCACGCACACCACTCTCACCTCTCCTCCCACCACCCCCCTTCTCCATCCCATCCGCTTCCAAGCTCCGGCCAGTCTTAGCACGCCACGTGGCGACGAGCTGTGAGAGGCGCCTGGTCCACTGCAGGCTCTCATCTAAGACGAGCTCCAGGGGGGAGGCCTCCTTGCTGTGGGTGGCCACGACTGGCAGGTGCAGCTGCAGCGAGGGGAAGCGCGCATGCACCGTCAGCACCATGCGGTGCCGCCACACGGGGAATACTGCACCCCGCCCGAATGCAGTACCACTCACAATGTCGCTGGAAATATCCCCCATACCGCCGCTGCCCATGCCATAGCCTGCCCCCCCAGCGCCCCCAAATCCCAGCTCCAGCAGCCGCATCACCTCCTCCCCTGCTCCCCCCTCGCCTCCCCCTTCCACCAGCCCCTCAACTGCAGCAGCAGCAGCAGCTGCAAGAGCCGAAGGCGGCATGCTGAACTGAAAGCTCCTGAGAGGCCCGCCGCCGCTGGCCCCAAACAGCTCGTCCAGGTCGCCCCTCGCCGCGCCCTCCTTGCCCTCCCTCAGCCCCTCCTCCCCCTCAGGCAGCCCTGGGGGAGGGTCGACTGGGGCGGGGTAGACTGGCACGACCTGCACGGTGCACAGCTGCGAGTGCCGCAGGTCGTCGGGTGTGACTATGGGCGATGTGATAATGCGCAGCGAGGTGCTGGTGCCCAGGATGCGGTCGTAGATGTCCCTCAGCCGCTTCACCAGGTCCCCTGCTGCCGTGCCTCTGGGGGGGAAGGGAGGGGTGGTGAAAGAACAGCGGGTTGAGCATGGAGCATGGAGCATAGTGACTGTCAAACTGTATTGACAGTTGACTGCAAATGGCACGTCCCTTGAGCTTCCCATCAGCACATCCTTCCCATAAGCCCAGCCCAGCCCACCACGCGGTGCCCTGCCCCCACCCACCGCGGCTCCTTGTACACGAACTGCCGCCCGTTGAACCCCGGCCCAAAGCGCTCGCCATAGAAGGCCACGAGGAAGAAGCTCGCACCGTGCACACACGACTGGAGGGACTGCTGGCACCCACCTTCCCTCACCCCCTCCTCCCCGCCCCCCCCTGGCCTCTGAGTCAGCAGCAGGTACGAGGCAGCTAAGCGCCGGTGGCAGCGGGAAGCTGCAGAGAAGTTTCCCTGCTCTTTCCAGAAGGGCAGCAGCAGCTCCTGCAGGTGGACGGCGAAGGAATGCAGCCCAGCCGAGGCGAAGAGAGAGGAAGCTTCCTCGAGGAGAGAGGCAATGAAGAGGGGGTTGACGTGCAGGTACCCCGCCACCCGCCCCGCCACCACCACCCTCTCCTCCTCCTCTCCACCACTACCGCTGCCGCCACTGCTCTTCTGCCCCCCCTTGCTCCTCCTCTTGCTCCTCACGGTGGCTCGGTTGGTGGCCGCTCGGAGCAGCCCCGGGGCGAGCAGGGGCAGGTCGGGGCACACTCGGGCCAGCGCTGCCACGTGCTGCTGCCCCCACACCGCCCCGCTGCTGCGCTGCCCTCCAGCACCCCGAGAGAAGAACCCCGCTGCCACCACTGCCTCGTCGCCTGCTGCATTGCCTCTTGTGCCTGCACCGGTCGTTGTGGTACTGGTGGTGACGGTGCTGGTGTTGGTGGCGGTGCTCGTGGTGACACTGCGGGCGCCGATCGCACCATGATCAGCAGAGCCATCGTCTGTGCTAGAGTGATCCCGCGGCGGGTGGGGGAGGAGGGCGAGCAGGTACTGCAGAGCCACAGCAGCAGCGGCCACGCAGCACTGCCCCGCCTCCGCCGCGCCTCCCAGGGGGTCGAGGTGGCGGTGGGCGAGGGCGAGGCGCAGCAGGAAGAGCAGGTGCAGGTCGGGCACGTGCGAGCACGCAGAGGCGCACTGCAGGTACCCCTCCACCACCGCCTGCCGGTCCTGCACTGCCGCCTTGGCCTGCCCCAAGAGTGGGGGGAGAGTGGGGGGAGATGCGGCGGAGGTTGAATGCGTCATGCAGCAGAAGCGGGCACCGGTCAGCAATGGCGTGCACGCGGGAGGAAGAGCAGGCAGAGGCGCACTGCATGTCACCCTCTACCACCGCACTGCATGTCACCCTCTCCCACCGCACTGCATGTCACCCTCTCCCACCGCACTGCATGTCACCCTCTCCCACCGCACTGCATGTCACCCTCTCCCACCGCACTGCATGTCACCCTCTCCCACCGCACTGCATGTCACCCTCTCCTCTACCACCGCCTGCTGCTCCAGTCACGCCGACTTGGCCTTCCCAGGTTGGAGGAGAGTGAGCAGAATGCTTTGAAATTGCAAAAAGAAAGAAATAAAAAAACAACATGTCTGCTGTCCAGTCCAGCAGTGGCAAATTGGAACGGCCGCGGCAGGCATGGGAGTGTGAGGGAGGAATGCTCCTGCCAATCACCATGTCACGCCACTCACCATGTCACCATGCTCCTGCCACTCACCATGTCACCATGCTCCTGCCACTCACCATGTCACCATGCTCCTGCCACTCACCATGTCACCATGCTCCTGCCACTCACCATGTCACCATGCTCCTGCCACTCACCATGTCAGCATGCTCCTGCCACTCACCATGTCACCATGCTCCTGCCACTCACCATGTCACCATGCTCCTGCCACTCACCATGTCACCATGCTCCTGCCACTCACCATGTCACCATGCTCCTGCCACTCACCATGTCAGCATGCTCCTGCCACTCACCATGTCAGCATGCTCCTGCCACTCACCATGTCAGCATGCTCCTGCCACTCACCATGTCAGCATGCTCCTGCCACTCACCATGTCAGCATGCTCCTGCCACTCACCATGTCAGCATGCTCCTGCCACTCACCATGTCAGCATGCTCCTGCCATGCGTCCACAGCATGGAGCAGCACGGCAGAGAGCGCCTTCACCTCGCCCCACCGCCACCGCCTCGCCACGTCCACCAGCACCTGCTCGCCCAGCCCCACGCCCCCCAGCAACCTCCTGCCCTGCGTGCCCGACCCCACCATCCTCACCACCGCTCTGAACCGCTCCTCGTGCTCCCTGTCCCACTCACGCTGCTCGCTCCACCCTTGTCCTTCTGATGCTTCCCCTCCTTCTGCTCCCTCTCCATCTCTCCCCATTGCCCTATCCTCCCGTTCATCTCCCCAAGATTTCTCACTCATATCCTCCGTCCCCTCCTTTACTATCCCCCCTTTCCCCCACCCTTCCGTTCCTCGTCTGCCGAATCTCCGGGGTCTCCCCGGACCTGTCCTGGGCTCGTCTACAGGCAGCCCTGCCGGCCCTATACCGGCAGGATCCAACACTGCTGCCGAGCCAAGCTGCACGGATTGGGCCATAGCTGGTAGTGCAGCAGGAGCAGACGCCATAGCAGGTGGGCAGGCGGCAAAGTATGCAGATTTCAGGGAGGGCGGACAGGAGAACGGTAGAGAGGAGGGGTCCCGGGAGGGGGTGAAAGAGGAGACGCCAGAGGCAGGGCGGAGGGGGTCAGAGGAGGCGAGGGCCACACAGGCTAGAGGGCCAGAGGGATCGTCAGAGGAAGGCCACAGGGAGGATTGCTGCTGCTCCTGCTCTTGCTCCTGCTCTTGCGCCGCCTTGCTTCCCCTTCCGCCTCCTCGTCCCTCTGCTCTCCCCTCTCCCCCATGCTGCCAATCACTCCCCTTAACCCTCGTCATGCCTTGGCTGTGTGTGCTGCGGGCGGTGGAAGGGCCATGCGTGTCGTTGAACCTCGGGCTGTGCCCCTCGTCATCAAACCAATGCCGCTCGCTTGACCCAGGCAGGGCGTGCGCGGTGAGGTCAGCCCAGCCCCCCACGCTGCCCGCTCGCACGCGTCCCACTCGCGGCCGCTGAGCCTGATGTGAGGGGGGGAGCAGCAGCCCGCCTCCGTGGCTGTGGGATCGCGTGTGTGCGTGTGCTGCGTGCTGTGCGCCACTAATGCTGCTACTGTTGTTGAGGTGTTGAAAGGGGTTGTGAGCGGTTGCAGAGGCAGTGCCAGCGGCAGCGGCAACGGCCGCAGCGGCAGAGCCAGGGGGAGGGGGTAAAGGGGAGTATGATGCTGCTGTGTGGTTGCTGAGAGCGTCAGGAGCAAGAGAGAAGGACCGACGATGCCGCTGCTGCTGCTGCTGCTGATGCAGCTGATAATCACCGTGAGGAGCAAAAGCACCATCAGCAGCACCACCTGCTGTGAGCGCCCCTCCTTTCCATCCCGGAGGAGGCTTGAGAGCGGTGTGAGCAGGAAGAGTGGGTTGAGTCGGTTGAGTGGGTTGGATGAACTCCACAGCCGGATGAGTGGAGACGGGCGAGTCGGGAGAGGGGGGAGAGAGGGGGGGGATAGAGGACGGGGAGTGAGGAGGGTAGAGGGGAGTGCAGGGGCGAGTGAGGAGGTCGATGGAGGAGAGAGTGAGGGAGACGGTGATGGCAGCGACTGTCCCACTCTCCCTCACTGAGTCCTGCGGGGGGGTGGGTGGGTGGGTGGGGGGGTGGGTGGGTGGGTGGGCGGGTGGGGGAAAGAGAGAAGGGGAAAGGGACGGGTAACGGAGCACAAAAGGGGGAAATGATGGAAGAGGAGAAAAAGGGTGGGGGGGGGCAAGGAAACAGCAGCAGGCGGTGGGCAGGTGAGGGAGCGAGCAGAGCGGGCGGCGTGGATTGACACGGTGCGGCTTGGCATCACGGAACAGCTTTGTGCAATGGATGCTGCCCATGGGTGGGTGGGAGTGAGCGGGTTGCGGCAGGGGCAGCGCTGCATAAGGACCCCGGGGCAGGGAGAGAGGGCCGGTGGGAGGGTGGGCGGGAGGGAGGGAGGGAGGGAGGGAGGGAGGGAGGGAGGGAGGGAGGGAGGGAGGGAGGGAGGGAGGGAGGGAGGGAGGGAGGGAGGGAGGGAGGGAGGGAGGGAGGGAGAGGGAGGGAGGGAGGGAGAAGTTGCGAAGGCAGGCTGGTAGGCAGGCGAGCGGGCGGGCAGGCGGGCGAAGAGGCAGGCAGGCAGGCAGGCAGGCAGGCAGGCACACAAGCTGGCAGGAGGGCAGGAGGGCGGGCCGGCAGGAGGGCGGGAGGGCAGAGGGCGTACGGCGATGAGGAGCAGCAGCCCCACGAGCGCCCTCTCCCGCACGGCAGCGTGGGCAGCCAAGACAGCGCAGTGCAGCAGCCAGTGCGCCATATTCTTCACCAGCTGCCCGTTGCTGCGCTTGCCCAATAGCAGCGCTCCGTGCCTCGCCACCTGATGGCGGGCGGGCAGGTTGATGATATTGTGACACGGAAAGAGAATACGGGGGAGTGGGTGAGTCAAAAAGGAGACGGCACATGGGCACGCAATCAGTTATTGACATTCATGTGTCGCTCAACTACTAACAGTGTAACACCTGCCAGTGTAACTCGTACTGGAATAAATCTACCACTGTAACGCCCACCGCTGTAACTCGTACGCATTGGATCGGCTCGTTACATGCACGTGTCGTCCAGCTCTTGCCAGTGTATCAATCCATCACCAGTGTGTGACTCAGACTCGTACCAGTTTGAGCAGCAGAGGGACGAAGCTGGTCCAGTGCTCCGGGGTGAGCACAGCCTGGTGGGTCTTCACGAAGGGCGCCCACACCAGCTCCTCCACCTCCCCCGCCCCCACTGCGCCTCTCCCCGCCCTCACCACTCCTTCGGAAAGCACCTCCACCACACTTAACACCTGCCCCTGCTGTTCCACTCGCTGCCGTCTTGCCTCTCCCCTCTTCTGTGTTTCCGCATCACAACCCCCTCCTCTGCGCCCCCACCCACCTTCCCCCCCGCCTTCCTCCCCTGTGTCTGGTTCACCCTGGAAGGAGTGAGACGGAGAGGGTTATGGGGAGGGGGCGGGGAGAGGGGGAGGGGAAGAGAGGAAGGGGAGGAGGGTGTGGGGTGCGGAGGGGCTGAACAAGGGGAGATGACGGGGCAGCAGGCGGGTGGTGTGGTGCGGAGGTGGGGAGTAATGTGGGGTGGGGAGAAGGAGAGAGAGAGAGGTGGGGGGGACAGGTGGAGAGAGGTGCGGGGAGAGACGAAGAGAGGTGGCGAGAGAAGGGTGCAGGAAAAGAAGTGGGGTGAAAGAATTGGGGGGAAATATGTGGGGGCCAACAGGTGGGGGTACAGGTGGTGAGAGCGAAGGGGGCGAAGGCGCGAGCACGTGGGGCTGCGCGCACCAACTCCGCAGCAAGGAGGCGCGCCACCACCCCCCAGCTCGCCTGCCACACCGCGCTCGCCGATTCCGCCGCGCGCGCTCGCAGGGGGAACAGCGCGGAGCGCAACTTGCGCTTCTCGCGCGCCGACAGCGCCTCGTACACCGCCCGCACGCCCCTCTCCGCTGCAAGGGGGGCTGGCGCGGAGTTCCCGGAAGAACCCCCGGATGACGCGGAAGTGGCGGACGGCGCGGACGGCGGAGCGGCAGTCCGGCGGGGCGGGTCTTTCAGGCGCGGAGGGTTGGAGACGCATGGAGGGTCCGAAAAGCGCGGAGGGTTGGCATTGCGCGGGAGTCGCGCGGAGGAGGCAGACGAGAGCGTCCATTGCTGCGCGTGGGTGCGTTCCGCGTGCATGCAGACAGATGGCTCGGCGCGCTTCTGCGGAGTCTACGTGGCATCGCAGCAGAAATGTTCAAATCTCGTTGGGCATGCTTTTGAAATAAAGGAAAACGTTCGATGAAAACGTACTTGTAGATGAAAATGAGCTATGGCGCTTTGAAAAGCTCGACGTGCCTACGCCACAGGCTCTGTTTTATGGTTACACGAGTTAAGGTTTGGCGAAATTGCTGGTTTCGTCGATCGTTACTGCAGTGGGTAATCCGTTCCAAGAATTCCTTGGTACAGAAATAAAACCCTAATAATATTGAATCCAAATTGTAAAGTATCGCGAAAAGCACGGCCTTGTACAACAGTTCTCCCATAATTACACACCTTTTATCTTCACACCCAGGGGTACCTACTGCTACAATCTAAAGGTCTCTTTAGGATCGCAGGATTGATCGTTCGAGTGTAATAGCAGAAGTGCTTTGAAATTGGTACGATACGGACCTTGTCAGTATACTACTTTTAGATAGCTCCAGACACGGAACGCAGACGCTGGCGTAGGGGATTCAGTCCAGAGGATAGTCGGCGAAACCTGTAGCCGAGAGGAATGGGGCCATAGGTTAACGCAGTGCGCATCGTAGAGGACAGGACAGGGCCACGAAGAATGGGGTGCACTGGCATGACACATGGAGGTACGAGCAACCTCCATGCTCATGCCAATGTGAGGCTCAGCGATCTCATTCTGCTGCGGTGAGTCCGGCTGCGTAAACGATTGGCGGATGCCCTGCGCGTGACAAAACGGCTCAACCTGACTGGACGAGAACTCACCACCCAGGTCAGAGTGCTAACCAAGCACAGGATGGCCTCGCTGGGCGCGGATGGCCACTATCCACGGAAGAAGGGCGTCAGGTACGTCGACCTTCCGCTGCAGTGGAAACACTGTGGTGTAGCAGGAGTACTCGTCCACGACTACCAGACAGTAGTGCTCCCCGCGAGGCCCAACAACTCAGGCATGGCCCCTGACGTTCATGTGCAGGGTCTAAAGAGGCTCAGTGGCGCAAGACAGCGAGGAGGAGTGAGGGGCGGTGTGCTGCCGGCCCTCGACGCAAGGAGTGCACGGCGGCGCAGACGAGCGAAGAAGCGGGGAAAACGAAACTGGGAGGCTTGAGACAAGACCACGGGAAGCCATCTGAAGGAAATGCAAGAAGGAGGGGTGACGTAGGCGGTGGTGCCACAGAAGCGACGGGTGAATGAGGGGCCGACACGAGCAGGATGCAGCTACCTGACAAGACTCCCGTGCGCAGTGAGAAGAGACTAGACAAGACTCCCGTGTGAACGTGGCAAGAGGAGCCCCGCTGATAGAGTCTGTACCAGTCGCAAACCGCTCGTACTTAGGAAACATGGTAGAGACACCCAGGTCCTGAAGATGACGAACAACAACCAAGTTCCTGGAGAACGAGGGGACATGCAGACCCGTAGTGGAGTTGCGCACGACCGGGCCTGAGGAGGGGTCAACCAGTGCAATTGCGACAGGTGCACAAAGAGGTGCGAGGCTCGTACGGTCGTGGAATAAACACTGAGAGGCGCCGGAGTTGAGCGTGAAAGAAAGCGACGCGTGGTCACACATGTGCTAGAAACAACATAAGATCCTACACATGCATAAACTACTGATCCTAAACAAAAGGCACAAGAATAATAAGGTCCAACAACACTAGAATCAGATGCATACAAAGTAACGAGAACACCAGCCGTGTCCATAGTAAAGATAAGCACACCATGCTGCATCAGAGAGTACCAGCCTGAGAGGGCAGCTTGAGGGCCGAAGTGCAAGCAATAGAGATCGTCGAGGCGGCGGAAGCTGCGTGCCATCGAGTGATCCTGACGACCGCAGACTGTCCCCACGCCAAGGCCAGTCTGGCACAGTCCAACGTTACGACAACGCGACGCCCAGCTGTTAGAGCCGCCACCGCGGCCAGCGCTCCCCAGGCCACCAGGGCTCCACTGCTGCTGAGAGACCCACTGCCACACTGACGGGTGCTGATGCTGCTGTTGCGGTTGCTGTTGCGGCTGCTGCTGCGGTGCCGCTACATCCCCAGAGCCAACACCTCCTCCAGTTGCACCACCCGGCTTTGAACCTACTCCAGTGTCAGCCCCCCCAGTCGCGCCAGCATCGCCGCCTCCACTACGACCACGACCACCCCTGGTGCGTCCGCCCGAGACAGTAGCAGCAGCTGCAACCTTCGATTAGAGGCGGGCTCCGCAACAGTAGCGGAGCCTGCAGAGACAAGGAGCTGGGGAGGGGCACACCCTTTGAAGATAGGGGGTACCAGCTCACTAGTAGTCGCAGCGATGGTGCGCAGGCGGCTCTCGATCATAGTGGGACTAGTTTAAAAACGATTGAGAGTCAGTTAAGTAGGGTGCAGGGCGCGGAGAGCGTCACGCGCAGTAACAAGGCGGTCAGGGATGCGAGTCGCGAGGAGGTGAAGGGTGGGATACATGTGGCAGGGGTGCTAGAAGAGCTTCTCAGTACTGCGAGTGTCACTCCAACGTGCGTCAAGAGAACGAAGGTGAGTCATAAGATCAGCATCAGAGTGGAAACTAGGCAGGTCAGGAAAGAGAAACGGCATGATGAGGCGGCCTAGGATAGCAGACGAAGGGGTAGAGTACCGAGCAAAGATGGCGTCTAAGTACTCTAAGTAATCCTGACCTGGCAAAAGTGAACGCGCTCGGTAGGGGGGAGGAAACCACTAAGGGCGAGACTTGAAGCTGCGTCGCGCGACACCCATATCCCGTACTTATCCTGAGTCGTGCCGTGGGCCTGCTATTCTGCGTCTATGGCGGCATCAGTGAGAGCAGGAGGGCGCTGGGGGACAGACAACTCAGTCGACACGTGGGCGTAGAGGTACACACCATCCTGGCGCTGGCTCTGCAAGTAAAGCTCAACGTCACAGGTACAGTTTGTCAAACTATAATTGTTATAGTTTGTTAGTTTTGTTTAGGTGTTACACTGAGTTCTGCTATAGAGGGTACAACCCCCTTTAAAGTTGAAGTATACATTTGTCGGCATGGTTTAGGGTTTAGGGAGTGCGCCCCACAGGTTTGGGGCAACTTTTCAAATTTCAAAAGATTTTGATCCCCTCCTTTCAAATGTGTACCGGAGCTTTAAGTTTTGCTATATGTTTCGTTAACCTGCTTGTTTCTACTCATTTATTCTTCCGTTCACTTCTTGACATGGTATAGAGCTAGGTTCTTTCTCATGCGCCCACCACCCCACGCTCCGCCCGTCGTTCGTAGCCCGTAGATCGTGCCTCGTGTCTGAAAACCAACACTGGGAATGCCTGATTGATCCTAGGGAAGGGTTACAGGCTCGTTGTCCTGGGGGGTTATTGTCAAACTATGTATTACATAGTTTATATAACTGCTTGTAGTTAGTAGTAGTGTAGTTATTTAATTGCTTGTGTTGTGGTGCACCTTTCGTTCTTGCCTATATGTTCCGTAAACCTATAGTGAAACTCAATCATTCTTGACATTCCTCCTTGGCACAAGCTACTCACGATACCCTTGGCCTAGGCTACTAAGCCTAGGCCCTTCTTAAACCCGGTTACCAGCTAAGCTAGTCTCGTGACAGTTATGGGCGCACTGACCCGCTACTTAACAAGCCATTTTATCCCAATGGTCTAGTGGTTGGGATTCTGACATGGTATCAGAGCGAAGGTCTTGGGTTCGAATCCCCATATGTGCACATGCTGGTGGTGCCGCTGTGCCGTGTCGTAGGGCATCCCTGTGCGGGGGGGTGTATGAAAACCAACACTGGGGATGCCTGATTGATCCTAGGGAAGGGTTACAGGCTCGTTGTTCTAGGGGGTTATGGGCGCATTGACCCGCTACTTAGCAAGCCCTTTTATCCCAATGGTCTAATGGTGGGGATTCTGACACCCCGCCCGTTCGTTAGCGCTCCGTACCCCGCTAGATCGCACCCTCTCCGCCCACATGTCCGAGCCCGCTCGTACCCCGCCCGTTAGCGCCCCTAGCCACGCCCGTTCGTGCCCCGCACACGCCCTACCTGTACCCCGTCCGTTAGCGCCCCGAGCCCCGACCGTTAGCGCCCCAAGCCGCGCCCGTTCGCGCCCCGCACGCTCCCTGCTCGTACCCCGTCCGTTAGCGCCCCGAGCCTCGCAGATTAGCGCCTCGTGCCCCGCTCGTTTGCGCCTCGTCCTTGCCATGTTCGCGCCCGCTCGAATCCCGTCTGTTAGCCCCCTGTACCCCGGCTTTTCGCGCCCCGCACGCGCCCTGCTCGTACCCTGTCCGCTAGTGCCCCGTGCACCGCCCGTTCGCGCTTCGTCCGTCCCCACCCGCGCGCACCCCATAGCCTCGCCATCTCATACGCACCCCTGCCGTCCCGCGCCCAGATCGTCGCCCGTACGCAGCCGCGCGCACGCAACCGCGAGCACGCAGCCGCATGCACGCGCAGCTCGCACAGTCGCCCGTACGGCTTGCACGCATGCGCCCACGCAACTGCACACATACACGCATTGCCCGCAACCCACCCGTAACCTACCATCCCACTCGCTACACATCACCCCACCCTATACTCGCCGCCCCACCCTGTATCCGCCGCCCCACCCTGTACTCGCAGCCCCGCCCTGTACCCGTCGCCCCACCCTGTACCCGCCACCCCACCCAGTACCTGCCGCCCTACCCTGTACCCCCCACCCCCACCACTCTGTGCTTGCCCCCCCACCCTGTACCCGCAGCCCCACCCTGTACTCACCGCCCCACCTGCTACCCGCCGCTCCTACCCGCCCGTTCCCGCTCGTTAACACCGTTTCCGCCCATAAAACGCCCGTTCCCGGCCGTTAAAACCCATTCCCGTGCGTCCCCGCCCGATATCGCAAGTCCAACCGCACTCCACCACACTCAACCGCACTCAACCGCACTCAACAGCACTCAACTGCACTTCACCACACTAGACCTTACTCGACCGCTCCTAGCTGCTCTCAACCGCACATAACCGCTTCTAGCTCCTGTGT